AAAATTTTTTTTCATTTTACCAGATAGATGGTCATAATTATAGTCTTCCAGCTCTTTTACGTTGGATTTTTTATTTTATTTATTTTTTTTTTCAATTTTTTTAATTAGTTTTATTTTTAAGTATTTTGGGGTGTATAATAGCTGTTGGGTATCTTTAATCGGGTATGTCTGTATTGCTTCTTCCTGGAAAACAAAGAAATTAAATAAAAATAAAAATATAGGGTACATGTATGTTTTGATACAGGCAATACATGTGATTATTGATAGGGTAATTGGGTATCATCACTCCGGGGATCTGTCTTTTTTGTGTTAGGAACACTCCATTCACTCCTTTTAGTTATTTTAGTTACTTTTTGTTGACCTATAGATCACTATGCATTTATAAATATTTCTCACTTCTATCTATCTATATTTTGATATTTTTCTACCCATTTACATAATCATTGTTATTTTCCCTCCGATGCTTCCGTCCACGCTCTGTTAGCACAGTCTATCTTTGTCTTCATTGAAAGTCATTGGTTTTTAGTATTTGCTCCACTGCATTGAGGTGAGGGACACCATGAGCACTCATTGTTCAGCTTCTTTTGATGAAGACTTTTTAACTCGGAGTGAGTAATTCTCATTGTTAGTATCTCTCTATTTTGTGCATAAAAGCAAAACAAGAAATCATAAAGAAAAATAGTTTTAGATTTGACTATACTAAAGTTATATTTACAATAAGATTAAACATCAAAATGAAAGGCAAAGACCATCTAGGATAAAAACTCCAACATATAGGATAGGATTAATATTTTTAATATCTAAACCATAGCCACCATCAAAAAGAAAAAAAAGAATTAATAGAAAAATGGGCAAATGATGTAAACAGGTAATATCCCTCAGTTTCACTCCACTCCTTTTAAATTATGGAATCTTCAACCTTGAAATGAATATACAGGAACTTTTAATTCAGGGGAAACATTTGTATATCTGATAAAGATTAAAGTTAAGAGGATGTCCCTCTGACAGGATGGTCTTCCCAGCATTTGGGTCTTTCATTTCCTTGGGCCACTCTCCTCTAATGGTCTTGCCTCTTATTCTCACAGTTACACCTGGCACCTTGTCAATAAAGATATCTGGACCTCCTCCACAATCACAATTTCACGCATTCCAACTTTGGACTACCATTCCCCATCATTCTAACTCATTCCCTCGAGTACCTTGAACCCCAAGACCTCTAATCCATTGATGGCACAAATTTTTCACTATCTTTCATTTCCTGGATGGTCTCTCTCCCTTCTTTGCCTGGTTAAAATCCCATGGCCACTTTTTATAACCACTTCCTGTGTACACCATTAACTCTCTTGCCCCTTTCTTGCTTCTAGTACTCACTTGGCAAAAGCAGGACATTGTTCAAATCCAACTCCCTTCCTATTCTGTTCCTTTACCTGAATATCTGTACATGCTGGAGAAGCACACATAATCTAGCTGACTGGTCTCATGTCAGTTCATGACCATGAACCTCAAGAGGGTCACTAGAGCTGACCAGCCATCACATTTCTGTGGTCCCTGAACTCACTCACACACACTCTTTCTCTCTTTCCTCGAGGACTTTCTCCTTAAATCCTCAATCTCCTTTCCTTATCTCATTCTCAGGTAATGACCTTGCTTCCCCCATATCTCTGAGAAAATTTAAGTAATCAGAAAATAACTTGATGGACTCCAGTCAAACATTTTCCCACCTATCACCATCTGCCCCAATACACTGCTTTCCCATGTGTACCATAAACTATCCTCTCTGAAGCCTCCATTTATGCACTACATCCCTTTCCCTCTTAGCTATTTAAAGATATTGTTCCAGTAATTCTCCTCTCTCTCTGTTATAACATCATCCCCATCCTCACCCTTTCTATGGGGTCATCCATTTCATGTATAAGCTTTCTGGTATTTCTATGGTCTTCTCCCCAAACAGTGAAATAGTAATAATTTCTCTGGTTAAGGTCATCTAATGACCTCTACATTGCTAAATGCAATGGTTAATGCTTGATCATCCTAATTTACCTTATTCCCATTCTACTTGACCTATTGGCAGTATTTGGGACAGGTGAGCATTATGAGAGAGAGGGAGAAATGATATTCCACTCGCTAGTGAAATTGGTCCTAACTAGGAAGAGAGTTCATCCTTCTATCAGCAGTGTAGAGGAAGTACAGAAATTGGGGTCTAATTCACACAAAGGTTGAAGGATCTAGTGGAGGGATGGGAGGGGGTCTCCCCTGTTATTTTCTCAGTGGGAAGAATCAAGGTCATTAGTTGGGTGTGAGGAGTAGGCAGGTGATGCTGGGGTTTGAAGAAACAGGAAACTGTGTAAAAGAGAACTTCCGGAAAGAGCAAATTGGAGTCAAATTGGAAAATATCAAAGGATAATCAGTTCATGCTGGTGGCTGCTGGCAATCTGCTGTCACACGTTTAGGTTGAGCAAAGGTACAGAGCTTTCTTCAACTAGTTAGCTGCTCAGATGCAAGTGTGGGGTGGATAGAAATTTGGTTACCCAGCCATGGGTTCTTCCAGATAAATGAGATGAGCAAATACATGTGAGTTATTATAAAAGTCTCTGAAAGCAAGACTCCCCTATGGATAGAACGTAACACATTCATGTACAAAAGAGGACACTTGTGATGGGTTTGATAAATCACTAGAGAAAAAAGAAAAGGTTAATAGGGTTATTTCTTTACTTATATTGCTATCAAAAACATGATTCCATTTTTACACCTAGATTTTTCTTCTTTTTATTCAAATGGCACCGGCTATTTCTTCCCCATCCCTCTCCTTAATCAGCTTATCTTTGTTGCTTATGTCCTGGATGTAATAAATTCTTTGAACCATATACTTCAGGTAACACGTTCTTAGTTCAAGTACTCCCGATAATCCCAGGAGTTCCAGACAAGTTGGGGGGACTATGCTTGGGTTGGCAGCTGTGACAGATGTCATTGCAATTTTCCAGCAGCCCAAAAGCATTCAGTTATATCCACAGTTCCATGTTCATAGAACCATCCCAGCACAACAAGTCTCCAGGGCTTTTCAGAGAGCGTGGCTGCACAATTGCCCTCTGGCTAAGAAATCATATTCCTCACTTTGATCTTCCTCTTCAAGTCGCGTCTCAAAAAACACATCTGCTGTTGGACCCTCGGCATTTGATTTGACCCAAGTACTTTTCCTTCTTCTACGTCCTAGCCAATAGTTCTCCCAGCCTTAAAATCTTCAAGCCATGGACGAGGCTATTAACACTTCTACAACTACTTTTTAAGTTAGGAGACTTCCAGTTTCTAATGAAAGGTCACTATTTAAAACTCTCAAAAACCATCAGTACAGATTTCTTACCTTTCTTTCCTATTTTCTAACTGAAAAATAGCAATCGTCTCTGGCTGACAGTTTATTTCATAGTAGGATCATGCTCTGGCCGTGTTAGGAAATTCCCCCCAGCAGCAACTGAGGCCATTTACTGACAGTGACTCTCTGTGCTGGAAACTTGTTAGAAGATAAGAAAAATGCCATACCCAGCCACTTAGTGCCACAGGTCACCTTATTGTTTCTCCGGGATGTACCCTGATAGGAGAATAAGAAAAGAAAAGAAGTTTTGTTGACTATTTAGAGTGGGCTGTGCATTTCTCATGTATTTTACTTATTCCTTACTTTTAAGGTTATTGTTATTTTCTTCACCTTTGTAAGTGAAGAGGCTGATGCTAGTGAATAAATAAATTGCTAAAGCAAGGGTGAATGGAACTATCATGGCAGAGTCTAAATTTGACTCGGCTTCTGATTCTATTAATTTGCTTTCCATTTCACCACATCACCTCACCAAGATCTCAGTAAAATATGATTAAGGAACTGTCCTTGAAACTTTACCCTTTTGTTGTGTTTAACTATGTAAATGCATAATTAAGTAAATCTTAAACTTGTCTTAAAC